CCAACAAATCAAAAACCATGAAAATTGGTCCAGCAGATCTCGAGTTATAAGTGTATAATATATATGTATATATATCTCGAAGACATTTTTCACCGATAAACGAATTATACGCACCGACACATACACCTAAATGGAATATTTAATGATAAAAGTGTAGATTTATAAAAACCTTATGAACGCTATAACTTTGTTGCTAAGTGGCTTCTGAGTTAGTTTACGGATTTAAATCTGGAATAATCTGGAGTGGGGTATTTTTCGATATGCCAAGCCCCTAAAGAGGTATAAAATTAATTTTGAGTCATCGATAGAGGAGGTTGCTAGTAACTCAACTAACCAATGTCCCTATGTACGGTCATATATCCACCATAACTTTATACATATCATACATATATATATATATAGCGGAATTCAAAAAATGCATTTTCAGATTTTCCACGCCCCTAGTGGGCGGATCGGGATCATTTTAGCACTTTACTTATTTAGATATACACCAGTGTGTTCCGAACTGCAAGTTTCTCGCTTCACTAGCGCCGAAATAAACTGTGTTCATATGGACAGACGGATGGACTGCAAGACGGACATTACAGAAAACTAATATAATCATTTCCATTTCATGACTGATAATAAAACTATCTTTAATATTTAATATTTGATTACCCGTAATGCTAAGTTATCATCCATTTCAATCAATTTCTTAGATCCTTGGAAGTTAAGTAGTAGTCCCGAGTCCGATAACAAGAATCCTAAGCGATATTTTGGCGTAGTACTAATTTTGGTATGCAATTTACTAAATATTTCTATTAGTGCCATCAGAACCGCCGTATCCGCGTTTAATGGATAATCCTGAAAAATAAAATTAAAAAAATATTAGTTATTGATTACCAATAATAGATATTAAGGATATAAATGTGATATACATTTTAAGTCAGGCTTTTAGATATCATATATCAGTCCCTGGATATGTGCAAATGTACGTTAACAAAAATATATACAGTGGTCCACAGCTTCTTTTAACTTGAAAAAAAGTTTGTTGGTCTATAGAATCGAAAAAATTTAAACGCAGGTTGCTAGTGTGATAAAACATGACATCATCAATTAAAAAATTAATACAAAATTTATTCATTTATTTTTAAAATATATTTTCACTAATTAATAATGCTTAAAAAATAAAAAAAATGAGACCAGTTCAACAGCTTATTTCAATCACCTTGAAATAATATTAATAGAGCTAAGTCTTTTTTAAATAATAAAATATAATAATAATAATATTTTGTGTGACCACCTTTTTTGCTAACTACCATTTTTATCGTTTTTGATATAGATGCCACCAACTTTTTGGTGACTTCTGGAGCAATTTTATCTCATTCCTCAACTAATGCAGCTTTTTGGTCCGATTTGTCCGATATTTTGTGTTTGTGAATGTGCTGTGCAAATAATACATATACAGGCCCAAACCATAACGTTATCTTAGCCATGCTTTACTATAGCTCTTCAATTTTTGAATCAAACTTTGTAATAGGCTTACGCCTATCCGAGGCAAATAAATTAAATTTGGACTCATCGCAAAATATGACAGTGTTCCGGAATCCAATGTCTTTTTGAAAATGCTCCTTGGCAAATTTTAGGTGACCCCTCTTGTTTTTGTCGCTTATAAAAGGCTTCTTGCGTGGTGCTCTGACATTAAAGTCATGTTCCCGAAGCACACGGCGAATAGTTTCCGGATGTCTTAACTTGCCAACTCCTCGATCATTGGCCACTTGTCGAGCCAATTGCCTTGGGTTATCCCGGATTTTTCTTGCAATATAACGCTTGTCCGTGGGATAAAACAACAAGAATTACCGCTGAATTGCAAAATAACGGATATTTGACCAGCTGCAAGGTTTGCTGCTGAAAAAAGCTTTGGGACTGTTGTGGTCTCGTCTTCTAGTTTTTAAGCATTATTAAATATTGAAAGAATACTTAAAAAATAAATGAATTGCGTTTACATTTTTTCGATATCTCCAATAGATTAGATTTTATAGACTAACAAACTTTTTTTGAGGTGCTGGTTGAATTAATCTGTGAACCACTGTATATTATACATCAGCTACAGCATCTACAAAGATGCACTATCTATTTTAGATTCTCTGCAAATTTGTGGCGAAGAGGACATGTTATCTAAAATCCTAAGGATTAAAAAAGAATTGTAACTTACATTAAATATGCCAAATGTCTTCAAATTTGCTGTGATCAAAATCAGAGGTAAGATATTGCTATCGCCACCACTTTCCATCTGTTGCATAGCAAATGGATTTGGCACGAATTCTCCTTGAATAGTTGACACCTTACTGTTTTTGTTCGCTACACCATTTTGGCCATCTACAGTAATGTGGTAACCATTGGCGTTAACTGATAATAAAAGTTGTCCAAGGGCAGTTTTGTTTTTCATGTTGTTATCGATTGCTGTTGATGTGATGTCATCTATAATATGTTCCAAGTTTTTGGTAAAAGGAGTAAAATAAACTGGAATGGGTATGGATTGAGAAAGCATTTGCTGTTCCAGCATTAAGATCTGATCCTTAACTTCGTTGCTTAAAATTTGCATATTGTCTGGTAACATAATGATAAGACCACCGGCTTTTTGACGGATTCTATGAAAATCACTTATGGAAATGTCCATTAACCTAAAAAAAGAAGACGATGTACTAATTAAATCATCTAGACATAAAACTTTATAGCAATTTATAAAGTATGTTTAAGGGTTTTAATAAAAAAAAATGACTTAAATAATATACAATAATTTAATTTCTATAAGTACAATCAATCTTTATGAAACTTTCAGAACGCAATCGTAATTCTTAAATGTATGTATAGCCAAAGCACATGTCTCTAGTATTTAAAATACTTCTTTAGTAATAATGAGGTTGAGGGGGTGGATATAGGGGTGGGGGGTAAATTTTAACAAGCACCGAAATTATATAAAATACACACAAGTCTACATAACAAATTTTGAAGTTCTAGCTTGAAAAATGTAGGAGATATTTTTTTAAGTGATCTTCGATAAGGTTTTTTATCGATAAAAAGTATCGGAATGAGTTATCGTTTTTTAGTGATAAACTCGATATGCGCGCGCTATGTACGAACATTTTAAAAAAAATTTGAAGTCTCTAGCTCTTATATCTTCTGCAATCGACGCGTTCAAACATACGGACAGACAGACAGACAGTCAGACGGACAGACAGACTGGCGGACAGGGCCAAATCGACTAAGCTCGTCACCCTGATCAAGAATATATATACTTTGTGGGGTCTGCCACGCCTGATTTCCCATTTTCAATGGGTTCAGGTTATAAAAATAAAAACAAGTAAGAAAGCTCTAGTCGAAATTGATCGACTACAAGATCCCCTGAACCCTTGTAGGAATTGATATTTCCATAATAATTCGCTCACACACACAGAGGAGTTGGCTAGACTGGTCAATCTACACAAGACGGCCGAAAATCTCTGCAACCAAACGGGTAACAACTGCGAGGTTCAGATCACGTCGCTCAAGAAATTGGTTAAGAAAGCGAGCGCTAGTGCGTTTTCTGATAGCAATACGCCCAAGCGGTGTAGGGAAGTTGCCTCCAAACAGAGGAAAACTCCCTCAAAAAAGCCGTGCAGCAAACCCAAAGGAGCCAATGGCTCTTCGGGCTACAGTTGAAAATCCAAACCAGGCAGATCGCCAGACAAACCCGAGCAGCTGGACAGTCGTTAAAGGACGCAAGCCTATGCAAAAACGTCCCGGAAGTGATGCAATCGCGATTTCAGGAGCCGGTGGCTGCAGCTATGCGGACATGCTTCGTATGGTCAAGAGCGACGTTCAAGGAAGGCAGCTAAAGGGGACCTTTTGTTGCAACTCAGTAGGAAGCCGGAGCAATGTGCTGGGGCCCTGCACGAAGCTGTAGGCAAGGCCTTGGGCGACCGAGCGGTAACTATAACACTTAAGAATCGGCTCAAATTGAGATTCCTGATCTAGATGAGTTAGCAAGCAAAGAGGAGTTCTTCAAGTCAATTAGGGTAGAGTTGAATGATAGCTTACTCCATATTGAGGCTATCAAATCACTTCGACCAGCTTTTGGAGGACAGCAAAGAGCTACGGTTGCTCTTCAAATCGGGAAACTCAAAACTATACTCGAGCAGTCCATGCCGTATCCGAGCCGTGGACCAGCCTAAACGCTGTTTTAAGTGCCTCGTTTATGGACATATTGCATACTGCGGCAGCGACTGTGACTTAAAAGGTGCCTGTTTCAGGTGTGGAGAGATGGGTCACAGTGCAAAAACTTGCAACAAATCTTCAATATGTAGCCTCTGCGTCCGAGAAGGCGAAAAGCAGACGGACCACTCAGTAGGCAGCTTCAAGTACCCATCCTACCGTGAAGCTTCGCGTAAAACGAAATGTTAAGGGTTCTTCAGCTTAACTTAAATCTCTGTGTTGCTGCCCAAGATCTACTAAAGCAGACCATAAGAGAACAATGTACAGACGTAGCCTTTCTAAATGAGCCTCATCACTGTAGGACCAGGCGCCATAGGACATGATCAACAGACGCCTATGGAAAAGCTGTGTTGTGGGTATGTGGTAGAGAACTGCGAGTTTGTCAATTTTTGCCATTTTACTCACACTCAGTAAAATTTGTGTGCCGCAGCAAATCATAAACACACACTTATAAACAATTGTGTGAGTAGTGCTCATCCCTCACAACAATGCTGTCCCGCACAACAATGTACAGTTTTCTTTTTGCTTTCCCATTTATTTTTTGTCAACGCTTGCCGGTCGCACTTACATTTACAGCGAAAATTGAAAAACAACTAAGAAGACTCTAGTCGAGACTGCTCGACTAGGAGATACCCTCCAATCTGATATTCCAATTATTCCGTACTTCTTTTGGCACATTGTTGGCAATGAGCAATGAGTCCCCAAACGCATACAGTGTTAGGTGGAGTACCCCAAGACTCAGTGCCGGAGCATCTCCTATGGAATACCATGTACAACGGCGTACTGCGCTTGGAACTACCAGCAGGTGCGCACACCATTGGCTTTGCTGATGATGT